TTTGCGTCCCATATAATACCAGAACGATTACGGGCGGTCTGGTAGCTTTATTCACCATGATCGTAATAAATTCCCGTCCGAAAAATAATCTTAAGTTTCGCAAAGGTATTAATTTCACCGCCACCAACAAAGAGCGTTTGCTTCATGAGGTTCGCTCCACACTGTTCCCCCTTTTACTTCAACGCCTTAATCCCGTGTCACGGTGTGGCGTTTATAAATTGTGCGAGACAAAAAGGCCACTGTGTCGACGTGATGCCTCTCTGGCCCGTGCTGTATCATAGAAGAACAGACCACACTCGAATAACATCCGTCTTATTGCGACTTCCACGAAACGAAACATAAATTTTATGTGAAACGTTCGTCGTTTAGAATGTATCAAAGGACGAAATAAAAAGAAAGTATGCAGGAGGAAGAAACAAACAATTGAGCGCGAATGTTGCCACAAACGAAACTGTTTTCCTTATTTGTTAGTAACGTGCTCTTCATTAATTGTTTAGAGTTGAATTTATACGCAAATTAGTAGACTTTGTCAAAACCTAACTCTGTTCCGCCTATAAATTAGCACTCCAATCCTTATGGTGGTAAATTATTGAAGAGTTTTCCAACGTCATGTATAAATTCGATCGATTTAATATGAGTCCATGGGATTATGCGCCGTCGTTACTAATATGGTGTTTCCAGGCTGCGACTAACTGTAATATACGAACCACAACCGTCAGCTTCATCAAAGGATACCAACATGCAATAAATATGACGTTAGCTTCTCGTTCTCGTTATGCGACGATGGCACTGTTCGATCAGGTTGGCTGATCACACGGTTTCGTTACGCTTTAATGAAATATTGCGGTTCGAAAATATTAGTTTTCACAAGCAACAAACAAACTAATATGTCAATGGTAATTAAGTGTTTGTACTTGCATACAAATGCGCATCTTTAATTACCTTATACAGTTATTGCACAGAGACTATTAAAAAATTATTAATATTGATTCGAACTACTTGTATGAGCGAGTGCATACAAGGATATACAGGAACATGCCCTACACAAAGAAACTTTTAATTCAATCCCTAGGTTTTTATGGTCATTTGGTGATATTCGTGTTTATTGCATTACGAATGCATAATTTTTCTCGTGGTCCTTCGAGCCGGACGTCAGTATGTGGGTGCCTTTTTTTTAATACAAATGCCTACTCATTTCAAGTCAGTTAACCTTGTTGATTTTTGGTAAATGTTCATCTTTAATTACCTTATACAGTTATTGCATAGAGACTATTAAAAAATTATTAATATTGATTCGAACTACTTGTTTGAGCGAGTGCTTACAAGGATTAACAGTAAACATGCCTTGCACAAAGAAACTTTTAATTCAATTCCTAGATTTTTATGGTCATTTGGTGATATTCGTGTTTATTGTATTACGAATGCATAATTTTTCTCGTGGTCCTTCGAGCCGGACGTCAGTATCTGGGTGCCTTTTTGACAATACGAATGCCCGCTTAGTCAACTTCGTTGACTTTTGGTAAACGAAGTAGCCTGTCAAGTAATTTACAGCCGATTTTAAATTAACACGATAAGAAGTAAAGCGCGACGATCGAACAAGTCCCTTCTCCATTCCAAGTCATTTTATAGTCGCACGTGTGTAAAACGGGAGACAGGTTACATAGCCAAGGTGAAGACTGAGGATGACGTTTACAAGTGTGTATGCGCCGTTTAAAAGTGACTGAGTTATAGAAGACTGGGACGTTCGAAATACGAAGAATAATTTATTGGTCAGGTGCTTAGCACTGAAATTCCGTATGATCCGGGGAACTTTATTGTACCTTAACGAGGGACATATCTTTCGTCTCTATAACGTACGGGCACTTGAGGGTGATTGGTTAAGAATTTATGGAAACATTACTAAATTTAAACCAAATTTTACTACTATTCTTACTACCATGCGAGTTTAAGTTTAGAATGAATTTTAGTTACAAGACAGTGTGTAATGTTCTGTAACTTCTGACAAGCGACCCTTACTGTCAGTTTTAATGAAACCACAGAATCTTATGGTAAAAGTGAAAGTAATAATTACAGTCCATCTATATATTTATTGTTTATACGATAGATTCTGTAGGCAGGTACTTTTGCGACCTTAGGTATATTTTAAATTATAATAACCTCAGTTTTGCTTAGGATTGCATCGTGTTCGTAAGTCAAACGAATCACCCTGTATATAACTGTATCTCAGCAGTTTCGACGTCTATTGAATATTGAATGTTAAATTATTTGCTGCAATATTTACGTACTTATCGTTCCTTTAATTAAGTTTATATTGCAACTGGAATAAATAATGGTTGTAAATCTGTTATTTAATGAATTTCTAGACTGAATGCACAGTCTCACGCTTAACTCTTTATTTTATCGCATTCACTAATTTAACCCGGACGATACCAGTCTATCTCAATTTACGACAGCACAAAAGGCGAACATCAATTTTTTGTTGGTAAAAAAATGTCGTATTGCACTTAATAATTATCGGGAAAAGTAACTATGTGGATGAATGTGTATATATTGTGTATAAATATATGCATGTTGGCTATAGCGTATACGCCCACCCTGGACTCTGAATATGGGAAGACTTAATGAAAACGACGACTGACTTAAACAAATCGACTTTCAGACTCAGTTCGTTTGTACACTTGTTGTAATAATCAATTAAGAAGTTGAATAATCTTGAAACGTCATTAAATATTTTATCATTTTATTGCAATGTTGACGTTTACAGTCTCTTTATATGCTACATTGTAACTTACGAAAGGGTTAAAAAAGGTACCTAGAGACATGAAGTAGGTACCATAAACGGTGTGGTGAACGCTATCTGTAATACAATACTACATTTTGTGAAATTCAATATGTTTAACAAGGTCGATTTACGTTAAACGTTTAAATTTAAAATAGGGGAGCGATTTGGAACCATTTATCGGTTATAGTGAACAGCAAGCGCTCTTCTTCTAATAGCAGCGAAACAATTTTTAATAGTACATAATCATGTCATGTCTTCTTTAAAACTTTACTTCGTGCGAACCAAGTCACGCACCAAACAAACGATAAGAGAACTTACAGACGCCCATGTAATATCCACCTGTTCATTCATCCATCCATTTATCCATCTTTTACGTTGTAAATCAACGTCTCGTGTTGCCCATGTTATAGATACATGCATACATGCATAAAACACCGTGCACTTTACATATTTCCGAACACGTTTTATAACCCCGTAACGGCCGCTTATCGGAAAAAGTAAATTTCAGAGGGTATACGTTTTATGTTGGTCGCGGATTCGCGTTGTACATAAAACATAATACGGTCGAGTTTGAATTTGTCGGAATGGGATGTCAGCAACTGCAGCAGCGTTTGAAGGTTAACTTACTAAAGGAAAACAAAAATAAAAAGAAAACATTGAATTTATTATAATTTTCGAATTCCTAAATTAACCGTTCGCGAGCATAAAAGTGACTTCTTTTTATTGAAGGCGACTCGACCCTGCGCTATCGTCTGCTTCAAATTCCTACTACTCCTTCCACCCTGACTTATCTAACTTCCTAGATACCTAAAATCAGCCACTTCTTCTAATTTTTCGTCTCCTATCTTTATATTCATTTTTTCCCTACTTTGTCTGCCCTCGCATACCAGTATTTATGTTTTAATTTTTTAAAGCGATCGCTAACTCCTCCGTGCTAGATGCCAATACTGCTATATCATCTGTAAATCTAAGTATACTAATCTTTTGCCCTTGTAAATCTATCCCTACAGTTGTACTGTCTTTAATGATGTTGATCGCGTCTTCGATGTATAGATTAAAAAGTAGCGGTAACAGTGTGCAACCCTGTCTGACTCCCTTCCTAATATTTACTTCTCTACATTGCAGCCCCATCCCTGTAACTGCCTGTTGCTCTTTATACAAACTAAGTATCACTCTTCTATCTTTGTAACTCATCCCTATATTTTTAAGTATATTTAACATCTTATCCCATTTAACATTGTCAAAAGCTTTCTCTAAATCTACAATTCCTATGTATCTATACTAATAGGTAGGTATAATTTACTTTTTTCCCTTTTTCAATTCCTATCGATACATTTTAACATTTTCCGAGGCAAGTAAACGTAAGCGAAAGCGAAAATCTTGTTCTCGGTTTTCCACTTGAGAACTCGTTGAGGGCATGCGGGTACAAAGACCATAGCTCGAGACTGAAACCGATCCTGGAGTCGCATTAGTCATACCGGCATACGTTTCACGTCGTATTAAATAATTGTCCAGACTCTTTAAATGGTACTATACTCTGTCGACAAACTGCACTTAAACCACGATCACATGGAACTGCACGGTCTCGGTGGTCTGCACTTTATGGCGATATTTACGTTATTAGGCATTCCATAAACAAATGGAAACCCATACGACCGTGGGCAGTGCAAATAGATACGAGGCTTTGATTACCGTGCGATTTCTTCATGGTCGCACCGACTTGAATATTTGCGGTCAATTTTCTTGGTGTATATCATCGAAAGTATCCGGTTACCAATTAATGAAAACAGAGATTTGTATCTACGGAGAATAATCAGAAAGCAATAATTTTCGTCTTTTACTTCATGAATTTTGTTATAAAATAAAAATCTCGAAACGAATTTTATATAACACAGAAACACTATAATATTTATACAATTATTTGTCTTACCGTTGGTTATTTATCTCATTGTTTAGACTTCTTGCACTTGCAGTGCCTATATCGGCAATCTTAAATCGACTGAAAGATGCTGGCGACTTATTTTTATACGGTCATTTCTGGAAACTTCCCGTAACTTCCATTTGTCATGCCAGTATCGTTCGCTACATGATTTATAGCCCGCAGCTGCTACCTTTCGGGTACATCATACGAGCCGCCGGTATCGATCGTCCGCAGCATTTGTTCATAACATTTGTTAGTTCCTACTTGTTTTCATTAATTTAATATTTTTTCTTTTAGTTTCAGATACATGCGTCTTTACCATGTTTCTTTTGATAATGCAATGGAGTCGGTAAGTGTTATTTTTTGAATGATTTTTAATATTTATAGTATTTCTACATTTTACGTGATGCTAACGGACAAATATCAATACACAAAGAAACGGAAAAGCAGCGGTCATATACAAACTTATATGCTGATCATTTTGATTAATTTGACGTCGAGGATCTTATTAAAACCCATACGTCCCTGTCTTGGACAAAGTAGCTTTGTAAATATACATAAGTTGTCAACATATTATACAGGGTGATCGATCGTTAAATTAAGTAAACCAAGAAGAATACCTAATTTATTTGAAATGCTTTATCGATTATTTTTTATATGTATTATTTGAACTCGAACTCGCAATAGTTAGTCGATTACACTTTTTATGAATATAAGAGGCGTCAGTAGGTGTGCGGTTTTTGTGTCGTCCAGATACCAATTTCACTCTGCCGATAGATGTAAGCAAGTGTCTTTACCGTTTGTCATGTTTATTCAACAATCGAGACCGTCCAAGACAAGCACTCGACAAAATTTCAATGGGTTATCGAGTGGAGACCGCACTGTCATTTTTGAATGAGTGTTATGATTCCTAATCAGCGAAAGGAAACAAACGGCCTAAGGGAGAGCCATCAGATTCGTTCGGTGTCCAGCTGACGGACGAACAGACGTTCGAGATGAAAGAAAATCGCTTGCCAAACACAACTTTTGTATGTGTATAATACCCTTTGAACATGTAATCAAATCCTAGCCGCAGTTTATAAATAGATAATAACACTTAGGAGATATGGTGTGTGTACAGTCTACAGTTTATCACAAACCACAAATTATGTTAAATTGCAAATATTTATCAGAAAAATGGACCATGGCAAGCTCCCAATAAGATCACTACAAGTGTGATACTATCGCACTAAATATAAATGATTTATTGTGCTTGTCATAATTATAATTCCGGTCTTTTTTTTGTGGGATACTGTTAATCCTTCCCAGTCTGTAATCCATATCAATTTTACCGTTCTCCTATATACACACGAATTTGCTAACGCAGTTGACAGCTGGTAAGCTCTTCTGTGTGCACCCCAAAGCAATTGATTTGACGTGGACAAATAAATTGCTCCCTGTTTTATTGTCAAACTGATGGACATTGTAAGGCTCGTGGTTAAGCTATTCGACATCGATCAAATAAAGAAAAACATCTATTGCGACTGTGATCTCATACTTTATCTGCAATTCTATTTTATGATGTGTTTTTGCGGCATGATTTCGGAACTAATTCATGTGTGATTCTCGCCGCTAACTCATAAGCGCTCGCCTTATGCTCAAACTAAAATCTTATTTTTGATACGTTTTAGCAGCTGATGTGTTCCAAGTTAATTGGTACGCGTTTCTCGCCGCTAACTCATGAGCGCACCCCTTACGCTCATACTAAAACGATATTTATGATAAGTTTTTGCAGTTAATGTTTTCTAAGTTAATTGGTACGCGTTTCTCGCCGCTAACTTATAAGCGCTCGCCTGATGCTCAAGCTAAAATCATATTTTTGATATGTTTTAGTAGCTGATGTTTTCCAAGTTAATTGGTACGCGTTTCTCGCCGCTAACTCATAAGCGCTCGTCTGATGCTCAAGCTAAAATCATATTTTTGATATGTTGTTGCAGCTAATGTTTTCCAAGTTAATTGGTACGCGTTTCTCGCCGCTAACTCATGAGAGCTCGCCTTACGCTCATACTAAAATCATATTTATGGTATGTTCTTGCAGCTAATGTCTTCTAAGTTAATTGGTACGCGTTTCTCGCCGCTAACTCATGAGTGCTCGCCTTACGCTCATACTAAAATCATATTTATGGTATGTTCTTGCAGCTAATGTCTTCTAAGTTAATTGGTACGCGTTTCTCGCCGCTAACTTATAATCGCTCGCCTGATGCTCAAGCTAAAATCATATTTTTGATATGTTGTTGCAGCTAATGTTTTCCAAGTTAATTGGTACGCGTTTCTCGTCGCTAACTCATGAGTGCTCGCCTTACGCTCATACTAAAATCATATTTTCCACTTATTACGCTATTATAGTCTTATAAATAATACTAAACTTATATTTAATTAAGACAGAAACAAAGGTACTCGCCGCTAGTTCATATTAGCTCGCCTTATGCTCAGATAAAAAATACGCTTTGTGTATTGAAATCATTAATGATGTTTTTTAGTATCGTTAGTTGAGATATACCCGAGATATGTCAGCTTCATATATTATATTCCCATTAAAAACGGAGATTATCTCTTAAGTATAGATTTTATTAGAATGCGATGTTATTTATGGACCTTCTTAATTAACTGTCGCTGTGTGAATCGAAATCGCATCGCAAACGTATACGCGAACGTCGCCGTTCTTCGTCCTAATGGCCACAATAAAGTGCTTAGCGACACTGCGCGTCAGGCACGCGCGTTTAACAATCCACACGCAATGGATTAATCCACGTCCACGGCGAAACATAATGGCAATAACATTCATAACAAAGCACGCATAAAGACGGCACTTGCAACTCATAAATGTGAATTATGCCTCAATAATTGCCGTTGCTGCAAGAGTCTGCGGTCTACCCACTGAGCGCGCGAGGGACTCTCGTTGCCACCGCGTTACCGTACAAATTGTTATTACGGTTAAAAGTCGAGATGTAAAACGTTTTTGGACTCGGGAAACAAACTGCAAATAACGCAGCCCTGTATCGATTAAAATAACCTCACTTGACCTATGCTGGGAGTGAGCACTCTCTCTCTCTAGTAAATCCATGAAGAAGATAAAAATGAATATTAACTGTAGAAAGTCTCAGATTTAATACAATTTTCTAATTACACATTTTTCCTTTTAATTTTCCTCTGGAAAGTAAATGACCATTATAAATCCCGAGATCTAATAACCAAGAAAGAGATGAAGCGTCATCCTTAATGATTTTTTTCACGAATGAAAGTTAATATTCCCTTAAGTACCTTCCTCTTTATGAAACGTGATCCAGCCGATTTGTATCAGTTAATTAAATATTTACCTTGATATTGTTATTAAAATCGACGTCTCGAGGTCCGCGACCCTCTGAGAGTGAAATTGAAAAGAAATGAGTCTCCCTTTTTGACAACAACGTAGAAAAGCAGAAGAAGAGGAAGTCGACGTAGAAGAGAGCTCGGCAGAGTTATAGACCGAGGACTAATTTAGGGATCTTCATTTCAGCAACGATGAGATGGTTGCAACTGGTTCCCCGGCTTAATTACTCATGGAAGAGGGCTGGAGTTTAATTAAAGTCGACTAACGTGTTCGTGATGGCGAATTTTGCTCCGCTACTTCACGGGGAACGATGGGAAATGATGCGAACTGATAAACTGGATGCGAACTGACGCGAAAATCCCGCCCTTTTAGCTTAGAAGGGTGCGAACCATTTTCTAACTACGGATACGGTGTCCTACTTCGTCGTTATTCTGTTTGTTAATTAAAATACCAGTCGAACAAAAAGGTGAATGCGGGACTAATATCTTTTAAATAAATGAATAATTAAACGAAAATCATATATATTATTATCGAAAGCAAGCCTCAAGTAATAAGAAATTGAATGGGTAACAAAATTAGGGAAAAATTGAAGAATATGTGTGACATGTATCCTTGAAATTCTTTTTCATTGAAGAATATGTTTCAATGCGTGACATGTTTCTGTATTCCATCAACGAAGAATCTTGGATGTCTTTCTCGTGTCCATCGAATGGCATTCACCTGTTCGCTGATGATGATTGTCCTTGCAATCCATTGAGAGAAGTTGAAGTCGTACGTAGCAACATCCACTGAAGAACATATCTCAATGTGTGACATGTTTCTGTATTCCATCAACGAAGAATCTTGGATGTCTTTCTCGTGTCCATCGAATGGCATTCACCTGTTAGTTGATGATGATTGTCCTTGAAATCCTTTGAGAGAAGTTCAAATCGTACTTAGTAACGTTCATTCAAGAATAAATCTCAATGTGTGACATGTTTCTGTATTCCGTCACTGAAGAATCGTGGATGTCTTTCTTGTGTCCATCGAGTGACAGTCATCTGTTCGTTGATGATGATTAACCTTGAAATCCTTCTTGAAGTGAGAGAAGTCCATGTTGATTTTAGTAACATCCGGAGAGTAGAGCGGATTCGGAATAAGTTCATCTTACGATGAGCTTCTCTGCTTGTTAATATAGCCTAATACAATTCATTAAATATGCCCAACTGATTGCCGGTGCTATTATTGATTTACAGGTCGTTCCCAATCAAATCGTTGACCTCCTTTTGCATTTGTTTCCGTGTTACACCACACTACTGTGCAAAACTTTTTGATCAGCCTTCATATGAAGAAAACATGCAAGCAATATGACATCAAATTATTCGGCTCATGTTAGCTCAGTTATGACTCGCCTTAAATGTGTTGCGCTCGAATATTAGCGGACATACCCTAATTTTGTTTAACAACGTCAGTTTGTAACAAACCATCATTCCGAATTAGTTTCATTAATCTCTTCTTTATTAGTTTGAGGGTATATTTGAGAAGCATGTTTGGCGAATGTCTACCGTGAGCTTTTTAAGAGACGTCGAGTGCATTACACGGACGGCGTTGCTCCGTCATCCAACCCCATACGGTTTAAGTCGAACAAAGTCGCATAATAAAGCTTATGAGAATGGAATTTATTATCGGAGCAGATCTCTAACAGTTCGAGTCGAATTTATTAGATACTGAGCCATTACGCTCGGGTAACCGACCCCCAAATCGGCGCCGGTTGTAACAAAAGATCGGTGAACGAGTTTCTATTAACGAAAGTGTAAATTTCGAAGTCGTTATCGAAATGGCTATAAAAATTTCCCCTGCACGATTTCCGCAATTAAAATTAATATTCCCGTCACGCCACGGTTCGAATCGTCGATAACCATTAAACGGGACTTAATATTGAATAGGTACTTAATAATAATTTTCACTTAAAAAAGTTTTTCTATAAAATCTAAATTTTCAAGTAATTATCACCCAAAAAA